TCTCATCGGCAGTACTCTGTGAAATTCCCTGTGATTAATAATACAGGACGATGCATTTATAGATACCCCGTTGAAATATTGCGGCGAAAATTCAATGAAAATAAGATTTTACTTTAAAAGTTTCTACACGTCTGATACCAATCTCAATACAATTACTATATATTTTAGTTCTCTCCTCTGTAAGACAAGGAGCCATCACTCTCGCAATGTTCCATAATATGTCAAGATATAATACACATCAGAAATTATGTTATTTCTAAATTAATCACCCTACATATATTTTGTAAAAATGTGCACAATGTACTTATATTACTGTTCTTTTCAAATACAATAAGGGTCATAACTATGAATTGTAAAGTTAGTGTAATTGTATTTAATACAAATCCTTTTTGTATTAACCGCATATTAAATGTACCACTGTGTGCCTTAAATACTAAAAATGCCCAATCACTGCCAATAAATAAATGTAATGGTGCATTCGAGATAAAACACATCTTCAATGTGCTATGATTGAATATTCACTATAAACAACCTGAAAATTAAATCATTACCCATTCAGCGGGTGGTAATGTTAAATTGCAATCTCAATAAATACCAGCATGAATAAATAACCCAATTCATTTCCAGCAATTGCTCTTCATACCCAAGCAACTGCAGGGCATCTCTCCTAAGTTGAGGTGAGCAGAAGTAGAGGGCTAGGATAGTATTTAAATCCCACATCCCGAGGGGGCTAAGTTTTATCTGCAGCCTCTGCCAAACAATTATATCCAGTTACCCTTTTTTAGCATTCCTTTGGAAACACCACAGCACAAGTAACCCTCCTCCTCCAGGGAAGGGCACATTGCCCTCACGACAATGAAATTTCACATGTGACAGCTTATCTGAAAAACAAAACCATTTCAATGGGAAAAAAACGTCATATTTGTGTACGTAGGAATATGAATCACCAACACGATTTTAGCTCTTAAAATATTGACTTCCCCCGTTGCACAATTTTGTAATTGCCATCAAGCTAATCACCTCAAGTTATTTACTCATGCTCCCACTATTAATTAGCCATGCATATGTTTCGTTTTAAAGGAATATGTTAATATTAAATAGGTTGCATGAATTATGTACTCACTGCATATAATTCTTAGTTGTTTAATATTGGAATCCCAACATATTACATATTGAAAGGGCCTTATTTCAAATTAGCTTACTGTATCACAATAACAAATCAAAATTGTGCTCACTAACACATTTTTCATGGCCTGTATGGAGGTAATGCATATTTCTAGTTAAATCTTAAAGGTTGGCAAACATATTCTTGGTTCCTTCGGTAAAGTCACGTAGAAGGGAAACAATAAAATATTTTTTTAAAAACATGACAAACATGTTTTTTTGTAAAGAAAATGAATTATAAATTCAAAATATTAAACTTAAAGCGTGAAATAATTGCCGTGTTTGTTTTTTACTGTGTATAAAAAATATAACAATAGGTCTGGAAAGTTAAGGAGTTATTCATGATCCAGAATACGTGTTCCCTCTTTTTTTATCCAGTCTTTAATTGAAAATAAACACTGATGTGACTACAGTGGAACGTTTCTAATCAGTGTATATCACTTGCTGTGACCCAAGAGTATGTACATATGGGCACTGACAGAGAAGATTGAATTAAAACCTGAAAAGTGTACGAACGTCTCGGTGAGTTGCATACGAGGAATGATACCGAGAAAGGAACACTCAGATTAGTGAACAACATAAGCAAGTTAGAAAAGATGTTATTGGAGGTTGACAACTAAATGGGCTTGGGCAGGACACGTCACTCGTAGGGATGATGGCCAGTGGTCAAGAATTACGACGTAGTGGAAGGGAGAGAGCATAGCCTAAGAGGATCACGTCTACAGAGATGGAGTAGTGAGATTAGCTCGCTCTGGATGGATTCTTACATCACATGACTGCGGCTTCAGCGAAGACGAAATGTTCATATCGATCTTGAAGACTACGAGAGATGGCAACGACTTGTGAATGCCTTCATCCAGCAGTGCATAGATCATGGATGATGATGATGATGAAATAAATATCACAACGTATCTGAACAAGGTTAGCTTTTGAATTATGAGCTCCAATTGAGAAAAAAAACATTGATAACAAAACTACATATTAAAATTGTCTACGAATGCCGATCACATGTTTATAACTCTGTTGTGAAAGTGGGCCATTGTGATCTGGAACTATTTTGTGAAATTCAAATGAATTGCAGTGTTTGACTAAATCGCGCCTCTGTGGGCTGGGTGTGCCTCATCGGAGGATTGTGGTGGTCTCAACGGATCAATGCAGCATAAATATGGGAATGTGCTTGAAGTGAATTAAAAAATAAAATTGCGTGAGCTTAATGAAATAAAAATCCTACAGAAAACTGCATTTCAGTACAAAACTGAATTAAGTTGTAATACAACAAACGATTAATAGGCAATTATGAACACAGGAATGGAGGCGGTATGGGAATTAATGGAGTGGAACCCGTGTCCATATTCGGTGTTATACTTGACCAAGTTGGGATGCTTTTTAAGAGCGTGCAATTATTTCAGTTGCCATGAATTACACCGCGAGTCACAATCAGTTGTATACCACCAGCCTGCTCACGGTGTTTACTCAGCAAATGCAAGTGGGGGCGTGAGTCCTGAAATACACATATTTCCGGAGTGAGAAAATACACTAATAAGCAAAAAATACACCATGTCCCTCCGCATTTAAGTTTTTTTGTACATGCCATCATCAGCCGCACGGTGTATGACTGATGGGGGCGTGTGGCTGGTGGGATGCAATCTTTACGTGGAGGGTCAGATATGGGAAGGCGAATGGCTGCTTTATCTGTGTTGGTATGTGATCTACGTGCTTAACAACGCCAATGAGTATTGTGTTTTTTTTTCTCGGCGTATGTCCGCTTCATCTTTATCGGTACATATCAAACCGAACACTCAATCACAACGCATTATGCGCAGTAGGTTTTCACGAGCGGGATTGATGCAGTTGCTGTCCTTAAAACCCATTCATTACCTTCATTGTCCAGCATTCCATTTACATACATTTGCTGCATTACGGCCCTCCCAGACGCCACAGCAGCAGTGCACGTGCGCGCCCTCCAATACAACAAGCCTTCATTACGAGCGTATGAGATGGTAATGCAAATTCCATTTGCTGATCCTATAAATGCGTGACCTTTTTGCACCGCTACTATGCCCACAGGCAAAAAATAAGACAGTGAGTGCGGTCACTACGAGCCAAGAAAATGAGCAACTACATTCTCACTCGGTGCTTTTTCTTGTAATAATTACGCAGCCCAGAGGCACCACCGTTAGTTAGTGCACTGCACACACACAAAGGTTATGAGTTCGATTCTCGGTCGGGGTTCCCACTCAGTCCTTTTATACCCAGAGTTTATCCAGAGTTACCAGTCAAACCAACATTGGTCGTCCTACAAAGAGTTTGGGCCCAGCCATGTAAATGTGACATTTCTTACCATTGGCTCAGTTATGATGACTTCACTGTATTAACTCAAAACGAGTATACCAAAAGTCCGATTAGCAGGGTTGGCTATGTAAGGTGCGAAATAAGTTCAACATACATGCATACACAACTGCGATAATAAATTGTTTTATCTTTGCAAAGTAGACTTTTGGAAATTCCAAACTTCTATAAATTTGCAGCAGTCATGCTCGGGAACTAACGCATGATGTGTTATCACCAGTGTAGCACGAAGATAACGGCAACAGGGAAATCGTGTATCAGCAACATCGTAATGTAAGCTGTGCTACATCGTAACGCAGATGCCGTGCGCAACTGGCACGCGCCTTCTTAAACAGGGCCTCGGTTTGGAAAGCACGGTTCACTGGCTCACTTTAGCATACGGTGTACCTGTGCGTCAGGAGGTCAACTAATACATTGAACATTTTTTTTATTTCACCAGATCAGGCCCACTGAGCGATATAGCTTTTCTTCAGAAACGACCTTGCCGTCACAAATTATAGCTCAATGCGGGGTCGCCAAATACTCGAAACACGCGTCTCTAAATGTGGAGGGCTCCACAGGCTATAGTTGCTGCGAACAGATGATCGCTTACTCTTTGGTTCTTTCGGTAAAGTCACGTAGGTATAAAATAAAATAAATTATATCACGACGTTTCGGGCGCAACACAAGCGTCCGTCATCAGGTGGGACAACCACAGCAATAAACAATTGCTGAAGTGGGAAAAAGGGCTGCTGCAACAAGAGGCTAAATAGGCATAAGCCAGCCTACAATATATGCATTGTAATAAAACTAAGTTCACAACGCCCGGCCGTCTCATTTGTCGTTTAAATCATACAATACTCTGTAGTTCGTATATCTTATTCTTATTGCGCTGCGGGGTGTAATTATTTAAACTGCATATTATCGTCTTCATTATGCAGAAAGAAAAAAAAACAAAAGTTTAAATTACAAAACCAATCGGAATATATTGCAACATTATTCCGTGACTGGGATAAAACCGGATGATGACTCTATTGCTCAGTTTGCAGGACAGCAGTTTTCTGATCTAAGAGTTCGGCATCCCCCGCCTTGAATACACTCGGCCCATCATTCCGCAGGCTAGCCCTAGCCAAGCAGCGCATTATCGCAACATGTCACTTAATGCATGGGACATCAGCAGTGGTGTGTGTGTGTGCACTATGGACTTACTTGCCATGCTACAGAAACGTGACTTTGGCAGCACAGATGGAAATTGGCACAATATGAGCACTCGGACGCTGGCATGATCGATACCGCTTATGTTATTACACTATGGAGCATATTCATAAATCATTACGCAGCAATAAACGGAATGGGAGGCAACAGAGTGGCAAATACTTGGAATGGCGCGACTACTGTGATAAGTAGAGGCAGTAAAATAGCGCTCAGCACTAGGCACGCAAATGTGACCCCCCATGCCACAGAGTGAGACAGGGGTGAGTGGGTGAGTGGTGTGCGCCGTCTTGTACCTGCTGCTCCTGCGGTCACAGTACTACCGCTGCGTTCCAGCTGCAGCTCCGCCAGAGGAGCGCCCTGTACCAGGAGGGCACTGCTGCTGATGATCTCCATGGCAAGCGGGGATGGGCAGGGAAGGCGCTCTGTAGATGCGGGATGTGGGGGGTGGGATAGCGGACGGACAGACTGAGTCGCCTCGCTGAGTGTCGGTAGCGTGGTCTTGCATCCGCTCTGCCTCGCGTGCGTGGGTCCGGCTGTCCTAAAGAGTGTCCTATAGTGTGCTGCGCGATAGAGTATGCTGTCCTATAGAGTGTGCTGTCATATAGAGTGTGCTGTCCTATAGAGTGTGCTGTCCTATAGAGTGTGCTGTCCTATAGAGTGTCCTATAGTGTGCTGTCCTATAGAGTGTGCTGTCCTATGGAGTGTGCTGTCCTATAGAGTGTGCTGTCCTATAGAGTGTGCTGTCCTATAGAGTGTGCTGTCCTATATAGTGTGCTGTCCTATAGAGTGTGCTGTCCTATAGAGTGTGCTGTCCTATAGAGTGTGCTGTCCTATAGAGTGTGCTGTCCTATATAGTGTGCTGCGCTATAGAGTGTGCTGTCCGATAGTGTGCTTTGCTGTAGAACCTTTCGCCACTCGGTTGAGCGTAGTCTCCACGAGCCTGCTGTGCCTTGCGCGTGTAACGTAGCGATGATGCTGCTGCTGCGTCCGTGTGATGTCGTCCACAGCTGCTGCTGCTGCCCTCCTATGCGCGATGTTCCGCGGAGGCTCGAGATTGCTCCTCCCTGCGCGTTATTTAAACGGGTGTGTGGTCCCTACGCCTCTTGTGCTCGGCGGGGCTTGCCTACCTATCTCCCCTCTGTCCGTGTCTCTCTCTCTGTATTTGCCCCGTTTGGGCCGTGCCCGACTGCCGCTGCTACTGCCGCTCTGGTCCCAGGCAGTGCCGCGCGTTTCGTTATAAACGCCGCGAGGAGCTACCGCTCAGTACGCACGCGCCGTGCCCCCACCGACTCCCCCGATCCGCCCCACACACAGAGACGCACGCGCGCACACAGAGACACACACAGACACTCACACGCATAGACACACAGGAACACAAAGACCCCCCCGTATAGCCTTAACAGACTGTTGGGGCAAGTGCTGTTAGCGAGCACCTATAAAGGCCGGCACGGCACACGAGGGGGTGGGTGGCCAGCACCACGCCCGACCGCCTTTGTCTCCCCAGTGGCGATGGTTACTACACACCGCGCCAGGTACTCATTTGAGGCTGAGTCGACCTCGGGGGAGGCCCAGGACCGGTTCAGATAATCGTCACCGGTGTTGGCCGTGAGCGGGGATCGAACTCGGGGAGGCCGGGTTCGGAGCGCAGCGCGCTGACCGCTACAATACACACACAGACACTCACACAGACAGACACACACGAACACACAGAGACGCACACACACACACTCACACACAGAGACACACATACACACTCACAGACACTCACACAACCACTCACACAAACACAGAGACGCGCACACACACACTCTCACACATAAATACACATAAACACAGACAGAGACACACACACACGAACACACAGAGACGCGCACACACACACAGAGACACACACTCACACACAGAGACACACATACACACTCACAGACACTCACACAACCACTCACACAAACACAGAGACGCGCACACACACACTCTCACACATAAATACACATAAACACAGACAGAGACACACACACGAACACACAGAGACGCGCACACACACACACAGAGACACACACTCACACAGAGACACACATACACACTCACAGACACTCACACAACCACTCACACAAACACAGAGACGCGCACACACTCACACATATATACACAAACACACACAGACACTCACACAAAGAAAACAAAGACAAATATCCCCCGTGTAGCCTTACCAGACTGCAGGGGCAAGTGATGTTAGCGAGCACCTATGAAGGCCGGAGCGGTACACGAGGGGGTGGGTGTCCAGCACCACTCCCGACCGCCTTTGTCTCCCCAGTGGCAAAGTTTTTTACAGACCACGCTAGGTACTCATTTGAGGCTGAGTCGACCTAGGAGAGGCCCAGGGCCGGTTCAGATAATCGTCACTGGCGTTATCCGTGAGTGGGAATCGAACTCGGGTTCGTAGCGCATCGCGCGAACCGCTACACTACCGCTCCCCACAACCACAGACACGCACATACACAGAGACACACACACATACACACAGACAGAAAATGATCCCCGTATAGCCTTAACAGACTATTGGGGCAAGTGCTGTTAGTGAGCGCCTATGAAGGCCGGCACGGCATACAAATGGGTGGGTGGCCAGCACCAAAAACACACGCACACACACGATACCCACACGACAGAAAAAGACATGTGCCCCTATAATACAGTGAGGGAAAAAAGTATTTGATCCCCCCTGCTGATTTTGTACGTTTGCCCACTGACAAAGAAATGATCAGTCTATAATTTTAATGGTGGGTTCATTTGAACAGTGAGAGACAGATTAACAACAACAAAAATCCAGAAAAAACGCATGAAAATTGATTTGCATTTTAATGAGGGAAATAAGTATTTGACCCCCTCTCAATCAGAAAGATTTCTGGCTCCCAGGTGTCTTTAATACAGGTAACGAGCTGAGATTAGGAGCACACTCTTAAAGGGAGTGCTCCTAATCTCAGCTTGTTACCGGTATAAAAGACACCTGTCCACAGACGCAATCAATCAATCAGATTCCAAACTCTCCAACATGACCAAGACCAAAGAGCTCTCCAAGGATGTCAGGGACAAGATTGTAGACCTACACAAGGCTGGAATGGGCTACAAGACCATTGCCAAGCAGCTTGATGAGAAGGTGACAACAGTTGGTGCGATTATTCACAAATGGAAGAAACACAAAAGAACTGTCAATTTTCCTCGGCCTGGGGCTCCATGCAAGATCTCACCTCGTGGAGTTGCAATGATCATGGGAACGGTGAGGAATCAGCCCAGAACTACATGGGAGGATCTTGTCATTGATCTCAATGCAGCTGGGACCAGAGTCACCAAGAAAACAATTGGTAACACACTACGCCGTGAAGGACTGAAATCCTGCAGCGCCCGTCAAGGTCCCCCTGCTCAAGAAAGCACATATACATGCCCGTCTGAAGTTTGCGAATGAACATCTGAATGATTCAGAGGACAACTGAGTGAAAGTGTTGTGGTCAGATGAGACCAAAATGTAGCTCTTTGGCATCAACTCAACTCGCCATGTTTGGAGGAGGAGGAGGAGGAGGAATGCTGCCTATGACCCCAAGAATACCATCCCCACCGTCAAACATGGAGGTGGAAACTATGCTTTGGGGATGTTTTTCTGCTAAAGGGACAGGACAACTTCACCGCATCAAAGGGACGATGAACGGGGCCATGTACCGTCAAATCTTGGGTGAAAACCTCCTTCCCTCAGCCAGGCATTAAAAATGGGTCGTGGATGGGTATTCCAGCATGACAATGACCCAAAACACACGGCCAAGGCAACAAAGGAGTGGCTCAAGAAGAAGCACATTAAGGTCCTGGAGTGGCCTAGCCAGTCTCCAGACCTTAATCCCATAGAAAATCTGTGGAGGGAGCTGAAGGTTCGAGGTGCCAAACGTCAGCCTCGAAACATTAATGACTTGGAGAAAATCTGCAAAGAGGAGTGGGACAAAATCCCTCCTGAGATGTGTGCAAACCTGGTGGCCAACTACAAGAAACGTCTGACCTCTGTGATTGCCAACAAGGGTTTTGCCACCAAGTACTAAGCCATGTTTTGCAGAGGGGTCAAATACTTATTTCCCTCATTAAAATGCAAATCAATTTATAACATTTTTGACATGTGGTTTTCTGGATTTTGTTGTTGTTATTCTGTCTCTCACTGTTCAAATAAACCTACCATTAAAATTATAGACTGATCATTTCTTTGTCAGTGGGCAAACGTACAAAATCAGCAGGGGATCAAATACCTTTTTCCCTCACTGTAGACGCTCGCTAACATCAAGTGCTGTTAGCCAGCACCCATTAAGGCTATATACAGCCATATTTGCAAATGTGAGGTGTCACTTTGATCCTTCCTATTTATCGAGGGACTGTGTGTTGTCTTGGTATAGTCTGGGACTGTTTTGGTTGTTGTTTTACTGGCTTTCCCAAGCTTGGGGTTTGATGTACTTTAACCTATTTAATTGTATTAAAGCGGCGTCAAGGTGGCATGATGTTGTCTTCCTCGCCTGGTATTCAGGAAGTCGGGGTTCGATCCCGACCCTGACGCCTGTATGTTTGGAGTTGGCGTGTCTCTCTCCCGTGGTCGCATGGATTTTTTTTCCTCCGGTGCCTCCGGTTTTTCCCTCCATATTTCGATTGTAGTATTTAGATTATTTGGCTGCTATACTTTTCCACATGATAAGCCACTTCGTTGAGCTATCATTTAGTGACCAGGTCGCTTCTGATAAAGACGCTAATAGCTCAGTGGGCTTCACCTGATAAAATAAACATAGACGTACGTTTTTTTGTGATTTGCTTACCTTCCCTATACTATGCACTCCTAATGTGTTTTTGTATTGTTTGTTGTTGTACTTTTCTGCCCCGCCCCTACTGGATATCAGTGAAAAGAGCTTTATAGCTCATGGGATTCCTCCAGTATAAATAAAGATTCTGTTTCTGAAGGCCGGGATGGCACACGAGGTGGTAGGTGGCCAGCACCACGCTCGACCGCCTTTGTCTCTCCCGTGGCGATGTTTACTACACACCGCACCAGGTGCTCATTTGAGGCTGAGTCGATATAGGGGAGGCCCAGGACCGGTTCAGATAATTGTCACTGGTTTTGACCATGAGCGGGTATCGAAACACGTGTCACCGGGTTCGTAGCACAGCACGCTAACCGCTGCACCACCGTTCCCCAGAGCCAAAGACAAACATACACACACATGCTGATATATACGGTGAACGCATCCGCGCACAGCCCGCGCCGTGTTATCTCATTAACACCGACATAAATAAATACAGACATATACAATTCATACTCTTAGGTTCTTTCTGTAAAGGCACGTAGGTATAAAATACCGAAAAATACCGAAAGAACCAAAGAGAATGGATTCCTGGAGTCATGAAAACTTCAAATCAAGATATACACTTCATGCTTACACATGCACCCGCAAGCAAGCACACGCACATGCTTTACAAACAGACAAAGATCCCCCGTATAGCCTTAACAGACTATTTGGGAAAGTGCTATTAACGACCACCTATGAAGGCCGGCAGAATACACGGGGGGAAAGGTGGCCAGCACCACGCTGGGCCGCCTTTGTCTCCCCAGTGACGATGTTTACACACCGTACAAGGTACTCATTTAAGGCTGAGTCGACCTCGGGGAGGCCCAGGAGCGGTTCAGATATTCATCATCTATGTTGGCCGTGAGTAGCGGGGTTCAGAGAGGAGCATGCAAAACACTACACGACCGCTCCCCAGAGATTACACATCTGGTCACACACACACAGGCACGTCGAAGATGATACAACACACCTCAAACTTATGCTTTCAAAATTATGACAGGGTAAAGTGGTTTGCGTTATAATCCGGATAATAGGTACATCTGTATAGTATATAGGCGTATAATTAATTTAGCATAATCAGCCAATCCCACAGATCTCCATCAAATACAATAACGTGTTATTTGCTAAATTGACACCAGGATACGTGATTGACTCTCAGCATGCCAGGTGCCTCCAGCACTGCGCAACACCTCGCGACCTGACAGGCTTGCGTTAATACCACTCAGTACGTACGTAAACAAAGAGTGGCCCACGTAGAAGTAAGAAAAAGGTTGCACATAGAATGAAACCTGGTGACGCAGCCAGTGATGAGAAGGAAACTGGCACTATTTGGGCACATATGTAGGATGCAACAACGGAACAATTTAAGTGTTCGGAAAAAATGAAAGGAACTGGAAAGAGAGGAAGA